AGCCGTTATAAACGGGTGCATCTATGTAGCAGGTGGGTATTCATACTCTAAGGGACGTATCTGCAGAGTATAGAGAGGTACGACCCTGAGATCGACTGCGTGTGTGTTCAGTGTGTGAAATCACAGCACAGTCACTGTCTGTGGAGCCACTTCCAGTGAGGTCAAAGTCTGAGACCACTTTTATTTATTTGTTAAATGTTTTAAAGTGAATAGGCAATACGTCAGATTCGGCACTAATTCAGGGTTCCTACATTATTTTCCATTTAAAAATGCTGTAAGGTCCGCGCACATGGCCCAAGGAAGGTATCCAGTGGTGGATGAAGGTTTCTTGCGTGTTCGGTCTTTTCAGCGCGCAGAGTTATTCAATTTAGGGTTAACTCAATCTGACTCCATTTTAGTATGAACTCGAATTTTGGTTGAAAGGCAAATTGATTGTTTGTCGGTCTCTGATTATTCTTACATTCGATTATTCTAACTAACTCTTTACTTTGAATTTTATTTGTTCATTAGGAATCTATGTATCAACAAAACTCGCCATTCTAATCCTTATTCAGAGGTTTGTGGCTAATAGCCCCCTACAGTTACCCATGTAATACTCAAACATTAATCAGCCGTTCTTCTATACCACCTTTGTCTAGACCCCGACATCTAATCTAGCTTCGTACAACTTAATTAATTCTGAAATCATGTACATGGTTAACCATATGATATTCCGACATTAATCAGCGGTTCTTCTAGACCTTGTCTAGACCCCGACAGCTGATAGCTTCCGGTATGGATTTCTGTGGATTTTTCCATACTATTCCAGACATTTCTGTTGATTTTTTTTTCATGTTTTTCCACTTCATCTGATAAATGAATAAAAAATCCAGCTGTTAACATGTTTACTACGTATGTATGCTATTATTTTGCCAAATAATTGGTGGAACATTTTAAAGTACTTAAATTTTTCTTTTCTCTTTGGAGTGTTACAAGCTCTTGGTGCATAAAGCCTAAAACGGCTCTTTCTAACACGCCCACACATGTCTATGTAACTGTGTGGGAAGATTTGCATAACGCCGCCCAAATGTTCACGCAAAGAAAGAAGGCGTAACTTTTATTCTCGCTGTAGTTTTGTTGCCGCACCCGCCATGTCATGAAGACGCTGTGTGCTTCGTTGTGAAAGCGAAACTGCTTTGTTTGGTCTTCCAAAAGAGGACGATATCGCCTGGAGCTGGAGCTGCCTGGAGCTGATCCGTGCTGGTCACTGAGGAAATACTTAAACTTCGCGCTGTGAATCGCCGGATCGGCTTTCACCGTGGACGAAGCAGAGTCCAGCCCAGGGTCACCACATGTGGTTGCCGCAGGCATCACAATATGGTAAGGGACATAACATTTCCGTCAGACGCTTGAGGTATTCGGCCAATCACAACGCACTGGATAGCTGGCCAATCAGAGCACACCTCGCTTTTTCATACCGATGAGCTTTGTAAAAATCGACGCGTTTCAGAAAGGCAGGGCATAGAGGAGAAACAATAATGTACAGTATGTGGAAAATGTGTTTTTTAACCTTAAACCGCATAAACACATTTCATTACACCAAATACACAAAATAATGTTCTTTTTAGCAACATCATATGACCCCTTTAACACACAATCACACTGACTGCAAACCTGTGGAATATTTCAAATTCATATTATACGTTAAAATGAATACAACATAGTAATAGTATCACTAAATAATGTCACTGTTTATTTGATTAAATGTAAAAAATAATATTGTCTTTAAAATATTATTGTCAGAGATTACATTAGAAATATATTATTTTAATATTTAATATATTATTTTCAAAATAATAGCAGAATATGCTATCCAGTATAATATTTGCTACCATTTATCTCTCCATTCACATCCTCACCCATAACGTATTCATCCACATAACATTATTTTAGGTTATTTTCAGCATTATCTGTAAATACTTACAAAGTGAAAAATCCACTGGCACATTTACTATACTTATGGCTGCACAGACGGCTGCTCCAAATGATGAAAAATATGACATTTATCAATTTTATATTTTAGTAAACAAGGAAAAAAATATGGAAACAGATATGTTTCCATACTTATCCAGACCTGGAAATGACTAAAAATCTAATTCCATACTGCATAGGAACCCTGCAAATTTGTCACATGAATTACACAACTCTTTGTATAGATGGTTAGATGTTTGTCCACTGAAGCTCAAGATGCTCTTTGGAGCATCTCAAATCATGCTAGAGAACATGGCCATCAGGTTTTGTTCACATCGGCTCCAAAAGGGAGACAAACCAATAAGAATTCTTCATTTTCAGTTCAATTCATCACTTGAATTGTTATCCTGAAAATGTCAGACTTTTGGACCCCGCTATTCTAAACTGGTGAGTGTAATGTCGAAATGATATATTTGTTCAACACTGATAATGTGTGAGACACAGTTTGTATGTTATCTGTGCTGGAAGATAAAGGGCTGTTTCTAAATATATACTGAACAGCACAATAGATTACAGCACTTCACTATTTGCACAGTACCTTTTTGTAGACTGTAATATTTTGCAGCAAAAAAATTATCTGTTTTGGTGTTTTAAATCAAGAAATTTATTCCTTAGTATTATTTATATTTATTTGAATGGTTTTGTATTTGTAAGACCCAGGATTTTACTATAAATATGTGTGATGTGTAATTTATTGTTTTTTTAGTTATTGTGATGTTTTATTAACTGTGTATGCTGCCAAAAATGTGAAAAGCAAAAATGTAAAAAGTTTCAACAAGCGTGTTTGTAACTCCTACAGAGACTCTGGTATTTTTGTGGTATCCACCCAAAAATGATGCAGTATGGTCATTTATAAAAATTTACTTTAAAGAACAGTGTGTGTGTGTGTATATATATATATATATACTACCAGTCAAAAGTTTGGGATCAGTAAGACTTGTAATGTTTTTTTAAAGAAGTCTCTTCTGCTCATCAAGGCTGCATTTATTTGATCAAAAATACAGAAAAAAAACAGTAATCTTGCAAAATGTTATTACAATATAAAATAATGGTTTCTATTTTAATATCCTTTAAATTCTCATTTATTTCTATGATGCAAACTGAATTTTCAGCATCATTACTCCAGTATAAAGTGTCACATGATCCTTCAGAAATAATTCTAATATGCTGATTTATTAGAATTATCAGTGTTGGCAACAGTTGTGCTGCCAAATATTTTTTTCAGGATTCTTTGATGAATAAAAAGTTTAAAAGAACAGCAATTATTCAAAATAAAAATCTATTCTAACAATATAAATCTTTGCTATCACTTCTTAACAATTTAACACATCGTTGGTGAATAAAAGTTTTGATTTCTTTCAAAAAAAGAAAGAATAAAAATTGACTGACCACAAACTTTTGAACTGTAGTGTATATTGTTAGAAAATATTTCTATTTTAAATAAATATAAATAATGCTCTTCTTTTTAACTTTTTATTCATCAAAGAATCCTGAAAAAAGTATCACAGGTTCCAAAAAAATATTAAGCAGCACAACAGTTTCCAGCACTGATAATAAATCAGCATATTAGAATGATTTCTGAAGATCATGTGACACTGAAGACTGGAGTAATGATGCTGAAAATTCAGCTTTGCATCACAGGCATAAATTACATTTTAATGTATATTAAAATAGAAAAATGTTATTTTACATCATAATAATATTTCACAATATTACATTTTTTCCTATATTTTTGATCAAATAAATGCAGCCTTGATGAGCAGAAGAAACTCTTTTAAAAAATATAAAAAATCGTTCTGATCCCAAACGTTTGACCGGTAGTGTATATATATATATATAT